TGAACCAGGAGCTTCTGAACCAGGAGCGCTAAGGAGGGAGACTGGAGCTCCAGCCCCTGGCCCTGCTTTCTGGAGAGAACTTTGTGTTGGGAGAGCTAATGCAATGGAGGCCCAAGGGGGGAAAAAACGGCACCCCTCCCAGTCCCCCAAATCCACGTCGGTTTAACAGGAAGCCATGGAGTTTGACCTCCTGCTCTCCTCTGGTGGGAGTCTGTCCAACGTCCCCAAAGTTCCCCCTGGAAGGTTCTGGAGCTCAGGAGCTACACTGCTGCACCCCCCACCCCACCCCCCGTGTCTTCTCATCCTTACCTCTGAGGAGGGGGCAGTGAGAAGCGGGCTATGGGCGCTGCTGCTCTTAGAGGTTTCACTCCACGCGGAAGAACTGAGCTGTGCCCCTCCTGCAGCCTCAAAGGGGGCAGGGAGCCAGTCAGGGGGCTGGTCAGTCCCAATTCTGCTGGGGCAGGGCTGCCCTTATGGCCCCTATGGCCTGTCTCACAAGAGCTGCCGTCTTGCAGGATTTCATGTCCTCCCTCCCCTCCCCCCCCCGTGGGAAGAAGCTGGGACAGAGAGCTGCGCTGCCAGCAAGGATTCTGGGAAAAGCAGGGGACACACACACGCACACACACACCTCTTTGACCAAAGGAGGGGCCTCCTCCTCCTCCCTTGGCTTATCTAGGAGCAACACCTTCAGCCCACTGAGCACAAAGGTGGTGATGGGGGGGGGACCCTAGCCTTGGTCCCAGGGCCTGCAGCCAAGGCCTTGCCTGCTGAAGCACACACACACACACACACACACATACACACACACGCTGACGAAGACTTCTTGAACAAGGGTTCAGGCTTCCAGGCTCTGCAGCTTCTCACATAAGCCTGGGAGAATTTGGGGTGCCCTGAAGACCGGGGGGGGGGAATGCCTGCAATCTCTGTTTCTGGTCAGGGAGCCAAATGTTCTGTGACCATAAAAAGGGGGGGGGCTGTTTGGCCCAGCCAAGGCAGCCAGATGGGGACGTCCAGCTGGTTCCAACGAAGCCCAGCCTATCTCCCCAGCCCATGAAGGGGCAGAAACGGAGAGCTGGCAGAGGTTCTGAGGGCAGGCAGCATTTATACAGCGTGGCTGCTGCTGGCTGCCTGCTTGCGAGACAAACAGTTGCCCACGGCAGGCCTTACTTTCCCCCAATTTCCTTTAAGAGCTTCCTTGGAACGGGGATGGGCAGAGGATTCCTCTGGAGGGTCTATTACGGCGCCCGAGGCAGCAGGGCCAGAGGCACCAGGGGGATATGCAGCCTCCTGTACAGAATCGGGTGAAGTAGAACACCCAGGAGACGGAAGACAGCAGAGAGAGTGGCTGAGTAGGGTGGCACCTCATGGGTATAATCAGGAGGATCTGAGGTGGGATGGCACGATTGATTGACTGATTGAGAGAAAAACAAAGAGGCTGGGAAAGAGTTCCATTGATGGGCTTAAGGTATCTTATCCCGGCACAGTCCCAGTTTTTTGGGCCAGTTACTTCTTCAACCACAACTGGCCTTTTAAAATGCTTGCTGGTTGGAGTGACAGATGAGGGCATCTTCTCCAAGCCCTGGAAGGTGATAGGGGAGGGGCAGCTCTTCCCCAGGAAGAGCTTGGGTGGCCCTCTTCCTCCCTCAGCCTCTCACCAGGCTGCTATGGGGAGAAAGTGGGGAGGAGGAGGAGAAAAAGCAGATATTTTCTTTCAGTTGGACGACTGGCTCAGGCCTCTCAGCCCCGTCTTCACTTTGGGGTTTATCTGGGAAGAGACTAACAAGCCCCTTCGATGCTAGCTTCCCCATTTCCCTTTCAAAAACTGCCCTGGGTGCAAAACGAGGGAGGCAAGTTGGAGGGGAGCATTTCCAAGCACCCAGCAATTAAACTGCCTGGCTTCCGATTTTTCTGCCAACATTACAGTTGAAGGGAGGAGCTTGACCAATCCTTCGAGGGATTTGGGAAACCTCCCTCAGTTGGGTCTCATTTTGGCAGGCCCAAGTTCAGGATGGGGCCCCTCTTGGTCACGGAACGGTTTGTATCGCTGCTTGTCGCCCTCGGTTTACCAGGGGGAAGCCGCACACGGCAACAATAGAAGACGCTTGAAATATAAGGGGAGGAATGGAAGGGCCCAGAGTAGCATGGAGTTGGATGCCAGTGGGGGCTGCAAGGAGGAGGTTTTAGATTTAGGTTTTATTAGGATTTGTATGCCGCCCACTCCCTAGAGGCCGAGGATGAGCACAAATTCCCTGACCGAAAGGGTTGCTACAGAAAGTGTGGAGGAGAGAAGGGCCGCCCCACGTGCAGAGGGGGCAGAGGAGGCCACCAGAAACAGTGAGGAACCTGTGAGGCAGAAGAAGTGGAGGCAGTCAGGAGTAAAAGTTGCACCCATTTGGAAGGGAGTACGGGGGGGGGGGACTGAATAAGGAACCTTACAAAGCTGTGGATGAAAATCAAGGGGATGAAATTTGGAATAAAACCAAAGTAAGGAAGGAGTATTTCAGAGGTTAGCAAAGGAAAGAGTGGGTTAATGTTACTCAAACAGATAAACAAACAAACAGCTGGCATTCAGTATTTTTAATGTGATTAATGTTAGCTTCCAGAAAAGGAGTCATGAAAACAAAAACCTAAATACTGTGAGAATATTGAGAAGGGTGAAGCCTGCAGCGTAACTGGAGAAATGTTAAATTCGGGAGACGGGTTGCTTTTGGCTGCACAGCTGGGTCAACATATCTGCAAAGGCTGGAACTGTGTGGGACACTTCCGGTTCTTTTACCAGGTGCAAAAGGTAACAACAGTGAATGAAAACGAAGCCGCATTTTGAGGACTGGCGGAGAATAAACGTCTGAGAATAAACAGTTCACCAAGCAAATGTTTTGAGAATGGGCAGGCAATGGAAGCCAAGGAGAAGTTGGTTTTCTTCTGAACATAAATACACTGATATGGTCTCTGTGGGAGGAGCCGCTGCGGAGGGGGCATCAACTGGGGGATGCGGGTGGGCCCGGAGCTTTGTATGCAGGGCATGGAGCCACAGAAGGGCAGATTGGAACCGGGGGACCGTGGGCCACCCTGCCAGGCAGGAACAGAGGACACCCCCAGTCTCCCTTGAAACTCCCCCAGAAAGGATACCCATTAATCCCGAGGCAGATGTTCTGCTCCAGATGCGAATGTGTGTGGTGGCCAGAGAACCTGGATGATCTGCCCTGCTGGTTACGTTGAGACACGTGGATTGAGAAGGTCAAAGGGCAGCTGCATCCAAGCTGGACAAATACTTGTGAATCAGACGCACATGAAAAACTAGCACAAAGAGACGCACTAGTTGGCTTTGGCAGAAGGCTCACGAAAGGCGCCAAAGGGGGGGGGGAAAGACGGAGGGTAGCAAAGGCCGAGGGGCAGGGAGTTGGCGGCTGGTTGCAGGGAACGAGGGAAGAAACGAGGAGGCCGCAGACCTGAAGGGAAGCAGGGCCGGTCCCTTCCTCTCAGCCCAACCCGCCTCGCAGGGCCTCCACTGTTGCTGTGGGGACAAAGGAGGAGGAAGGAGCACTGTGTGTGTGTTTTCTGCTCTGGGCTATTTATAAAAGATAATCCAGGCAGGATACTAATAAATAAGTTGAAGTCCTGATTTATAAAAGCTTCTGCCCACCGTCACTGTAGTGGATCAGGAGAGGCAGAAGGGGTGAGGGAGGGGGCCCCTCCTGTGAGACCGAAAAAGGAAGCCAGGAGGGTCCCAAAGCAACCAGCCAGAGGAGGAGGAGGAGGAGGAGGAGGAGGAGAGGGAGAAGAAGAGGAGGAAGAAGGAGGAGGAAGAGAAGAAGAGAGAAGAAGAGGAGGAGGAAGAAGAGGAGGGGGAGGGAAGCTGCAGCAGGTGCGGAACCAAGGCCTCAAAAGGAGGCTTAAAGAACAGGAGATAAATTGGGAATTGGGGAGGGGGGGCCTGGCAGAAACCAGCAGGGCAACCAGACTGGGCCCTATTTCCCTTCTCCTCAGGTGTTCAGGTGTTTCTTCTGCCTTTTCTGCAGAATCCCTCAAAAGAGGCCGCAGCCCCTTTCCTCCCGATGAGGCATTTGGGGGTGGAGCTTCCGGCCACTGTAGGACCCCCCCCCTCTTTTGCCCCATTGTCTGTCCTAAGGGAAGCCAAAGGAGACATTCGCAGGGCCCAGAAGGTCTGCAAATCTACTTCACAGGCCGCCTGCGTCTGCTACCCCGTTTGTCCCCAGCCGAATTTCCAGCTCTGCCACCTGGCTGCCCCACCCCACCTCTGGAAGAGAACTGGCCCTATGGGGCAGGCCCCGAATAGGCCACCCCAGAGAATTAGACAGAGAGGCTGCAGCTGTGCTTGAAGCCCCCACCCCCCATAAATGGCCTCCGGGGGCCTCTCCAAAGAATGAACTCCTGAGCTATGAGGGAGGGGGGGGCAATGCCCCCTCCGCATCCCCAGAGGTCGGACTAAGGGGCAAGGATAGGAAGAAGGCTGCTGGGGGAGGCAGGCTGGGGGAGGGAGTGGCAAAGCCCAGGTGGAAGCGAAAGAATTTGCATCAAGAGGCTCTCCTGACGCTGCTCACTTTGAACATGATGCTCGGGGAAACTGGGCAGGAGGCCCAGCGATAGGACATGGCGACCTTGTGCCACCCTCCCTCCCTCCCTCCCTCCCTCCTCACATGGCCACATTGACTGTTGCCAGGAGCATCGACTACGTCAGCCCCGTTGCCAGGCTCCCTCGCCGCAGCCATGTGGCTGTTGCCAGGGAGGGCAGCAGAAGCAGCTGTGTCCCTGGGGGGGGGGCAGCAGAAGCAGCTGTTTCCTTTGGGGTTGCACCCTCAACCTGGACGTAGCCTTGGGCTGCTGCTCTGCTGCCCGCTGTGGTGGACAAACAGCCGGCCTTGGGGGGGGGGTGTCCTCCAACGGTGGGACTGCTGTTTAGTTTAGTTTAGTTTAAATGTATTTATAGGCCGCCCTTTTCCCTAGGGGGACTCAGGGCGGCTTACAACATAAGCTGTGCTTAGAGGGAGGGAGGGTGGGTGTACCTGGGCATTTTGTGTAACCCAGGCCAAAGGGATGGGGGCTGTGAGTGTGAGACGTTGTGTTAGAGTGGGCCGTGGTGCCCCCTGGCTGCCTTCCTAGCCCCTGCACTTAGGGGGGAAACTGGCAGTTGAGGTTTTCGGCCTTTGGTTTTGGGGACAGGCTGGTCTGGGTCTCCTAGAGTCCAGGAGTGGATGGCTTCCTTCGGGTAGTCTCTCAGCCCTGAGGCCCATCGGCCCTTTCACCTGGAGCAACCGTGGCCCGGAGAAGGCCCATCGCCCCTTCCTCATGCCCACACTATCCCCTGAGGCCACCCACCTCTGCATCCTGCCACCGTCTGGGTGGTGAGCCCCAGGTGCTCCTTGTGGCTTCTGGGAGGGGGGGGCACTTGGGAGTTTTTCAACCACCCGGCAGGGAAGACCACCAAGGGCCTCATCCCCCAGTGGCCACAAGCAGCACCTCAGCCCCTTGGCCCAAGTGATCCTGAACGGGCCCCTGGCCAACCCTGGGCAGCTCCTGGGTCTCTGCAGAGGCCACCCACGGAGAAGGGCAAGAGGGGGGTGGACGGTCGCAGCCCAAGAAGCCAAGCGCTTTTCCTCCTCGTCCGTGGCCCCCTGTGGGCTGCTCTCCACTCCAGCAGTCTTGCTTAGGGGGGGGGGGGGCTAATCCTACTGCAAGGGCTCCTTGCTGGCACTGTGGCACAATGCGGGGCCAGCACCACCCCCCACATCCCCCCACGGCTCCCCTCCACTTGCCGACCATCAGGGATTTATTCTTCTGGCGGGCTCCCTCTCAGGAAGGGGTGGGGCGCTCTCTCGGAGGCCCCCCCCCCCCGCCTGCAGCTGGGGCCCTTGTGGCTTCCTTCCCTCCGGGTCTCCTGGCGGATGGAAGGGCCATTTTGGTGGCCCCGAAGGAGTCCCTGGGGGAGCTCCTCCATCCCCCTGCATCCAGTGGGGCTGAGCACTTGGCTGCTCCTCCTTGCTACGTCCTTGAGTTGGTGGCAAACCAACGTCTCCAGATGAAGCGAAGGGTCTGGAACCTTCTCCGGATCTGGGATGAAAACAGCTTTGCCTGTAATCTGCTGGGTAAGATCCCTTCTGGGAATCTGGGGACTGGGAAGAGCGCTCCCGTCTGACTCCTCTCGGATGGCATCCAGGGCTGCCCATGTGGCATCCCTGGGGACGTGGGTCAGGGTTGGGGGCTCCTCCCTCAGGGTGGCCGGAGGAGGGTAACCTAAAACCTGCTTGACCTCTGTATGGTCACTGGGTGAGGGAGTTCTAGGGTAACTTGGGGTCCAACGCTATCAGTGGGCTGAGGGTATCAGGCTGCACTGGTGGGGCCCATTCCAGGGCCTGGATGGGAGAGGACTGGAGCAAGCAGGAGCTGCCTGTGGGGCCCCGGGAGCAGCTCTTGGCGGAGGACCTACGGCCGAGCGGTCCTCCTCCTGCGAACCATAGGTGGAAAGCTTGGCCAATGCCAAGCTGGGGGCTGCGTGGGGCCACAGGGTTGGCCATAGGGACTCTTGGCTCCCAACACCGTTGACGGGTCTACTGTTAAGAGCGGGAAAGGAACCTCAGCTGGCCCCACATGCAAAGGGCTACCGATTATCTAGCTCTGACTGACGGGAGCCCATTATGCCCAGGGCCTTGGCTCCCAGGGGCACCTCCAAGGGCCCAGCCCCTTTGTCCCCTAGAATCAGCCCTTCCTTTCAACCTCACTGGGAGGGCAACGCTCCTCCCCACTTGGAGGACCAGGGCGTGTATGTGTGTGTGTGTGTGTGTGTGTGTGTGTGTGTGTGGTGGGGTCACTGCTTTTCCATGCTGCCCCTGCAGAATGGCCTCCCACTGGATGGGGAACTCTGGCTGCTGCCCCTCCTGGAGTGTGGAGGACAGAGGTGCACTCGGGTGTTGTTTTAACTGGACTGATATCTTCACTGTGTCTGGATGCCTGTCAAGATGCCAAGGCTCCTGTGGGGCAGAGGTGGGGTATAAATGTAATAAATATGGGTAAGAGCTGCCAGGGGGGAAGACTCTCCACAGTACGGAGCAGAGGGAGGGGAGGGAGGGAGGGAGGGAGGGAGAGCATCTTCTAGGCCGATGGGGCTTTAGTGCCCAGGACACAATTTGGGGCCCAGCCCTCTGAAGAGGCCACCCGTCCTCCCCTTCCCACGGGCTGCTCCCTAGGGAAGGGCTGTGGCTGTAGCCAACGGGGGTGGCGGGGGGAGTCTGCCGGGGCTGCCTCTCCTCTGCCCGGATGGCCTGTGGGGCCCACCTGAGAGGACGGATTGGGCTTGTCGGAAAGGCAGGGGAGGCCCACGGTGGACAAAGCGGGCTCGGGAAGGGAGCGGGCCCTCTGCCCTTCAGATGTCGGCCTCCAGCAGGTACTGCTCCGTGTAGTCCTTCGCCAGCTCCAGGCCCAGGGCCTCCTGGCAGAAGGCGGCCATCTCCAGCCACAGCTGGGGCTCCAGGAACAGCTGGCACATGACGCCGCCCCGCAGGGTGGGCACCTGGAGGCGCAGGTGGTGGACCAGCTGGCTCTTCAGGTGGGCCGGGTTGCGGCCAAAGGCGTCGATGTTCAGGTAGTGCCAGTCCTTGCCCAGAGGGATGGAGAAGGGCTGGGTGCTCAGGGTGGCCACGGTCGGGTGGGCCTTCCGGTCGACCACCCAGCGGAGGCTCTTCTTCTGCAGGAGCCCCAGGTTGCTCTGGGTGGCCTTGAAGGGCTGCCAGTCCTGGATGATGGTCTGGTTCGGCAGGACTTCGCTCCGGAAAGCCTCCTTCAGCACGACCTCCGGCACCTCCTTCTCCAGGAGCAGCTCCGAAGGCTCAGGGCTGAAGCCCCCCTGGGCCAGCACCGCAGCGTCCAAGCGAGAGAGCACCTCCGGGGCCTGGAAGCGCACCAGGAGGATCCCCTGGAAGGGCAGGAGGGTTTTTCAAGGGAAGAGCCGCTGGCTGCCGGGGGCATCTCTGGTAAGCGGCCCTTCCCTGGTGCTGGCATCCTGCCCGGGGAGACCCCTGGGGTCGGCCCTGCTTCCTCGGGCCACAGGGGAGTCCAGACACACGGGGACCCCCTTTCCCCAGGCACCTCTGCTCGGGCCGGACCCCCATTTGCTTCTGTGCCTCCAGGCAGCTTAGAATTGGCACGGGTGGGGGGGGGTGGAGGGGAGGGGGCGGGAGGGGCTTTTCCTGGAAGCCAGGTCTGCAGGGAAGGCAACTGGGTGGGGAGGGCTTCCTGGGCAGCCAGTGGATTGGCCCCAAGTGGGTGTTGGGGGCCTTTACTAGAGGAATGGGAAGAAGGGGGCGAAGAGACATGGGCCCAGCCAAGAGGAAGGAGCTGCAGAGGCTTCCTGGCAGGAGGGGCGACTGAGAAGCCGGGCGGCCATGGAGGTGGGCTTGGCCAGCAGCTGTGCCCCTCCCTCCTGCGCCTGGGAAGGGTCTTGGGCTGAGGAACTGAATCCCCTGCTTCTAGGATGCGGCCAAAGGGTTTTGTGCCCATTTTGAGGAAAGTCTCAAGGGAACTGCCGTTGCTCCTGCAGCAGCAGGCGCTGTCCCTCCCCCTGATGGCCTCCCCTCCCCCCTGCACCCCAAGGCCAAGAGGCTGCCCTTGTTTTGGAATCTCTGGTCCAGAAGGAGCCTGGATGGGACTCATCCACAGGAATTCGGCCGACCTCTCCTTGGGCGGAGGCCCTTTTGCTCCAGGGGTCTCCTCCTCGCCTGGGGCCCAACAGAGACCTCAGCCTCCTCCCCAAAGAGCATCAGGCGGCAGGCCCAGGCATGCATCCCGTGGCCCTGGCAGTGCCCCCAGCCTGGGCTGAAGGGCGGAGTCCTTGGCCTTAGCTTGCCAGGCTGCCATCGGCCTCTCTCCCGGGGGTCCTGCATCCACCGGTCCTAGGCCCAGCTGGTCCAGGAACACAGCCCCTTGGTCTACCTGGTCCTGCCCCCCCCAGGAGGGCCAGGTGGTCCCAGAGCCCATTCACCTGTTTTGCAATGATGCGATACTTCCTCAAGTCTTTGGGGCCCAGCTTGTCGTCCCGGGTCAGGCGGGACACTTTGACTTCTGGATGCTTCTCCTTCACCATGGCAGAGCAGAACCGCTGCAAGACCCCGGCCACGCCTTTGCCACGCTCCCAGGGTGCCACGCGCAGCCCCTCCACCAGGGCAGTCTCCCCCGCATCAATGATGTAGACAGACTGGAGGCCTATCTGGGAGGGGGACAGCGGGGTGGGGGAGAGCGGGAGTTAACTCCCAAGGGGTCCGATAGGTGGAGCAAGCGCTGGAGGGGTCCTGGCCCCACATGAAATGGGGCCACTGAGGATCCAAACTCCACCAGCCCCACTGCACTCCTCCAAGGAAGCCCCCTCCCGCAGGTTCCTTGGTGGGGACCAGAGCCTCACCTGACGCCCACGGGAGCCATCCAGTGAACAGGCAGCTGCTGAAGGGGAGGGGGAGGGCTTTCTCTTCAGGCTCCTCCTCCTCCAGCTCATGAAGGGAGGGGCCTGGGGAGTCCCTGCCATGGCCTGAGTGTTCCTTCCCGAAGGCTTCGGTTGCGGGGGGGGGGGGGGTTTCACCAAGCGTGGCATATTCAGCAAAGCGAAAGGCCCCCCAGGAAGCATTTTCTGCTCCAGGAGTGGCTCTTCTTCCATTGTGAAGAACACAGAAAGGGAGGGAGGGCACAGCTAGCCCGATCTGGCCCCCAGCCAAATGCCTCTGTGGCCACGTGTGT